AAAAGGGATGGTTGAAATTGATCGCAAGAAATAAATCCGAGAATATTGCCGAATTCTTGGAATCTCTGGTAATACGATTTTGGCATAACTTTTTGTTTTTTTCTGCCCATATCCATGGTATCTTGCATTGTATTGATGGACTTGGTGTCATTCCTGAAATTAAATTTAAACAAATTGACAAAGAGATAACACTGTTTCAGAGAAACCTCAAAGCAGGGGGGGGGTGGGGAGCTTTGGCCCCCCCACTTTTTGAAAAAATACAAAATATCAAGAAAGAACCACCTTCAAAGCCTCTTCATATACGGTTTTAACCCCCTTCCTCCACTTTTTTAGACCCCCCCCACTTTTCTAAACGCTCTGCGTCGCTTGTGCCCGAAAGGACATAGAGCTTAAATGCAATCATGGACGTTTTTAAAAATCTCAATCAAGAGCCGATTTCGTGGTGGAGCAGCATAAAAATCTCTAAGTGAAGCCATATTTTTTATTGTATTTAGAGCATCATCGAGGATCATACAAATTTCCTGTTTTAAACCAAGAAGTTCATCCTGAATCCAACTTAACAGATACCCATAGGCCATACAAACAAACTGGGTCTTTGGCGTGAACATTCAACCCTTAAAACATCTATTAACGAACCCTTCCTGCACATTTAAGCACTGTCTGAACTCCAAGCAATCTGCTCTGCATAATAAAACGAGTACTATTTTTCTTTTCATAAATCGGCGCTCTGAGAATTTTAAATTACTCCTTCTTGCCTACATATGCGACTTGTGGCTTCTTGCCTACATACGGGATCGATCCAGGCCGGGATCGATCCCAAACTGGCACGGATGGGCCTTCCGTTTACACGGGAATGCTCGGGATCGATCCGCTATCCGTGCTAATTTGGGTTCGCTTTGGAAAGCGTTCCAGTTTGGGATCGATCCCGTCTCGTGTAAACGCTCGAAAAGGTGGGATCGATCCCAAATTAGCACGGATAGGAAATGAGGCTAATAAATTATCCAATTGGAGGTGCTTTGATCATGATGCTTCGAGCTTTTTTCTATCAGATATTGCGCGCCTTTTCGTTTCTCGCCCACCAGAAGAGAAAAACAAAATAATACGGAGGAATTTTTTTACAACTTTATTGACAAATTTAGCGAACAGGCCTCAACTTATGGGAATGATTTATTCTCGACATAGATTGAGGCAGCGTCGCCTGTTGGCAACGCTTCACGCTCTTCCTCCTCATTTGGGTAGGCCGCTATAAAGTTTTTATCGATGTCCTCATAGGCAGGGAATTTTGCATAACAATCTAGCAAACTGGGTAACCGAAGTTTTTAAAGTTTAAGTCATAAGAGTAAAGGCAAAGGCAAATGACCGGAAGTTGCGTTTCCGGAAGCATGAGAAAAGCACAGTCAGCAAAATTTCAACTTTTGTATTTTTCAAATCTGAGTTTAGTGCGATAGCCAGCAATAGACTAAGTATGAGTACCTCAGTCTAAATAAAGCCTTTGGTGAAGTTTTAAAACTAGGTCTACATTTCACTTTATCTAGCACTTCAGATTACGTCAGGAAACCAAGTTTCAGCTAAACAACTTGAATAGTTGCAAAGTTACAGTGCAAGACCCAATGTAGGACTGAGTACAAGAACCATAGTTTAAAAATTGCTTTTGTAAAATTTTTAAAGCTTTTTTGCATCCCATTTTATCCAGCACGTTAAATAATGCCAGAAAAAGTTTCAACTTTATAACTTGCAATGTTCAAAACGTTGTAGTGCTATACCAGAAAGAGAACTGGGTACCAGTACCCTTGTCCAAAAATAGCCTTTGGGGACTTTTTTGAAGCTTGATATGAACTTCATTTTATTCAGCATATCGGATTGTGTACTTGTACCAAACTTCATGCTATTATCATAACATGCACAATTCTACTGCTATGCGTCTGCACTATCAGGAAACTCGAGAAAGCAAGTTGTTTGATAAAACGAAAAGTTTCCACAGCCATAACTTTTTGCTTATAGGTCAGATCACAGCTCTCTTTTAAAATCTTTTGCTCAGTTTTGCATGTTCTTTCCGATAGTATTATCAGATTTGAAAAATTCAAAAGTTGAAATTTTGCTGACTGGGGTTTTCTCATGCTTCCGGAAACGCAACTTCCGGTCATTTGCCAGAATGTTCCCAGGGCTTAAAATGATCAGTTGCCTTTACTCTTATGTTTTAAACTTTAAAAACTTCGGTTACCCAGTTCGCTAGACTGTTATGCAAAATTCCCTGTCAATCATACCGAAGATAATGAAAGTGTGCATTATCTTTGACCATACTTAGAACGAATAGGCTCCCAGTCCTGGCCATCGTCTAACTTCGAAGTTTTGTACTCCAGCGTGATCTTCAGGAGTAGGGCCGTTTATTTGTGGCTCCAAATAAACATTTTGTTACCACTTTACGAATTCGAAGCCATTTTGTTGTCGTTTTTCCCACAAATTTGCCGCTATCAACGCTATTTTCTTTAAGTTGCTAATGATATAACCATGTACGTTCCTCTCTAAGGGCCGATCTGGGATCGATCCCGTGTAAACACGTAATGTTTTGGGATCGATCCCGTGTAAACGCGAGCGAAATTTACGGATCGATCCAGATTGGGACCCCAAACTGGATCGATCCCGTTTCTCCCGTGTAAACGGGGTCTTAACGTTGAGTTGGAACGTTTCTATGTCTTCTGGCAAGGCTTACGCTAAGAACAAATAATAGTTTAAAGATGTTTATTAATAATATACAAGGAAAATCTTGCGGATTGCAAATTTGACAAAGTTCAACCAGGAGGCGATTTGTAGATAGTGAAATAAAACGCTTGTAAAAAATTTGTGTAACTGCTAATATATGCTCCGTTTACTCACAGTCCGCTTACAATAACAGCTTTTCGAAGAACTTTTGGTGCGACTATAACAGGAGTCTACTGTACTCGGAATGGGACCCGTGGCTTCGAGTAACTTTGAAAAGTAACGAGACATGCGAACCGAATGAGCTTATTACATATAAACTTCTAAAGAAATGCATGAAAGTTACTTACTGTATATCAATGTGACAAGATGCAGGGCAAAGGCAACGAGAAGCAAACTGAAGAGGCACTTTGTGCGTTTCATTGTTCCTCCAAACTCCGCTTCGGCTGCAGATGTCTTGGTTGACAGCAGAATCAAAACTGATTGAAGACGAACTCCTGGCCAATCGATTCAGTACGTTCAAGTCTTTGTTGCCGGAAGACAAGGCCGCACATTGTCTAGATGACCTTCGAGATCTCACTGTCAAGGAATAGGGCTCCGCCCCGTTTACGTCATGATTTTTCGCGCAATGCACGATGGGAAGAGAATGCGGACACAGCGCACGGCCTTCGCGAGTGAACACACTGAAAAACAATACGCTCTCCGAGAACGAAGTTTTTAAATCGATGATGGCGGCTACTGAAGTTGTTTTTTTAAACGAGGATGATGTGCCAGGCGCAAAACTGTTAAAGAAGCCATCAGAGTGCAGTGTAACGGAGCTGAAAAGATGGCTGGAGTGTCGTGGAGCAAAGAAGAGTGGCACAAAGAAAGTCCTAATCGAAAGAGTCGAAGGTTGTCTGAAAATCAAGATGAAGATTGATCCCAAGATTGATGGCGGTAAATGGTACGAAGCGAAAGCTAGCAAAATTGGAGCTGCAGATGCACCTATGAAGCCAAGTAAAGAGGATACATTGTCAGAGTCTAGTTGGAAGGATTTTCCTTCCAGAAATATCCCACCAATGTTTAATTATGGAAACATTTATTATTATCTGATTGAGTCTGTTCCTATGGTTGCTGACGCTTTTGGGAATGATAGTAGCAGTGATTCAGATTATGGAGAAAAAGAAGAATTCCAAGTTGCAACAGCAAAACCATTGAAAAAAGGAAGTAACCTGGTAAAAAGCAAATTTTTAGAAGATGTTCAAGACAATGAAGGTTATGACAGCTATGCACTGCGAGCACACATTCATCATTCAATGAAGAAGGAGCTGCCATTGAGTACACAGATTGCCTTGAGCAAGTCAAGTGGATTTGTTAAGTCAGCCTCCTGTACTTGTGTTGCAAAGTCATTAGGGAGGTGTGCCCATGTTGCAGCCTTACTGCTGTTTCTTAATGATTATATAACAAAGAATACTTGCCATGTTGAAGTACCAAAAACATCTTTGTCATGTAATTGGAATAAAGGAAAAAGAAGGAACAAGAACCCAATGGAGCTGCACAAAGCCATTTACAATTCTCCGAAAGAGAAGGTGGAAACGTATTACCAGGATCCTAGGCCAGTGAAATACAGAAAAACTGATGATAAATTAAAGGCAACATTTGTAAAGGATTTGCAAACCATCAGTGCAGCAAAACAAGAATTGTCAATGTGGGAAACAATCCTTCACATTGAGTATGAGGATTTTGAGCTTGGCAAAAATGACTTTTCTATTTATAAAGCCCAGGTTGATCAATTTGTCCAAGCAATACAAGATAGTTGTGATAGCCTTTGTTCAGCAAGAAGTTCATGTTGTGTCCCAGGCACAGAGGAACAAAGTGAATCGGAAAAATGGTTTTTGGAACGCTGGCCCAGAATTACTGCATCCAAGTGCAAGTTAGTGACCGTTTTAGGAGAAGATGTTGCTTCAGAACACCCATCAAAACTCAAGCTCTACAACTTTTTATACCATCATTTTTGGTTTCAAGAGAGAGTCCTAACTGGTGACATGAAGTATGGCATTGAAATGGAACGCATAGCAAGGCATGCTTATTGTAGTAAAACAGGAGCAAGTGTTATTTCAACAGGATTCTGGGTGAACAAAGAATACGCTCATCTTGGTGCTAGCCCAGATGGCATCATCATTGAAGATGATAAAGAAGTAGGCATCATAGAAATTAAGTGCTTGAAAATATTTAGAAGCAGAAATGTGGAGGATTTACTGTCTGACATAAGTAAAGGAACAATTCCAAAGAAACTTATTCAAAGACAGTGCTTTCTGATACATGATGATGGTAGTTTAAAACTCAAACAAGAGCACAAGTACTACTATCAAGTACAGCTTCAGCTATTGGTAACTGATCTCAGTTTTTGTGATTTTGTTCTATATTCAGGCAAAGGAACAATACACATCGAAAGAATATTTCCTGATAAGACTTTGCAATATCACATTATCAGTGCTACTTATGCCTACTGGTATTGTATTTTTGTTCCAGAATACTTTTTAATGCGTGTACCAAGAAAACTACTTCCACTTGTGTTTAGATAAAACAATTTGAGAGAATATGCCTATCATTTTAAGTGGCAATCAGCTGTCAAACACTCCTGAATAGCAAATTTTTGTTGTGTTTAGATATAAAGAATAAATTTGATGCATATTTTCATCACTTTTAAAAATTGTTGAGATATTTTGTCATTTTTGCACCTCCTTTTCTGTCTTTGCAACTGGAGCAACTGGTATATTTTTTTGAAAAATCAGAAAAAAGCAAATTTGGTACTGCTACATTTAGATCTCAGTAGCCAGAAAAAGCTGGTTAATTATGGTATGCTACCATTTTTATCAGTTTTCAGAAAAATTCTATTTGAAATTCATTTGCACATTTAAGACAAAGAAGTTAGATTGGGAGAGGGGTAAAAAGATAAATTTAAAAAAGATTCACTTATTGCCTTCAAAATATATGAAAATACTTCTCAATGATCTAATGTCTTTATTTAGCATTGGATACAAATAAAGCTTATTAATAAAATTAGATGTATTGAATTATACCAACTGATACCCCAAGATAGAGCAATTTATCTAATGTGGCACCCAATCCATGCTTGAATTGTTTGTGATAGAATAACTGCCCCCTCTCATAAGTATTGATTTACATAATATATAATGTGATGTGTACTACCCAAATGCCATAGATTGTATACAGGGGCATACCTTGACAAATTGGGGTGAGGGGTGTAAATGAGTGTATTTGCTGACCCAAATTCAACTCTTGCTAGTCAGTGTATAACCTATATTACAGTTAGATATTGTGAATTTATTTAGCGACTATGCATAACAGTACCAACCATTCGTAAAATTTACCAGCCAACTTTCTAAAGCAGTGGGGGTGTACCACCCCCGGTAGGTTCCTGAGTGTATATTTCTAGGTCTTACAGGCTGAAGGAATTCTTTTTATGTGTCAATTCTACTTCAATATGAGCTTGCTTTTAGAAAACATTTTTCACATTAACTATGTTTTGTTTGGACTATGCTGTATCATATTGTGTGTTTTTGGAGAGCCTAAAATATCCCCTATCAGTGCGTGTGTATTTTAGGAAGCCCCTCAAGGTAATACAATAATGACAAAACAAGGTTATGTTATTTAGAAAGACATGGTTGAAAGTTAACTAGGCAACATGCCACATAGACTAACTGTGAGGCAAGGCTTGCAAGGTTTAATGGTATGACATTGCTGATCAGTCTAAATTTCTTCAGGCGCTCATTAAATCTCTCAACATGTATTCTTGCCTGGGCTATACGTTTGGTCAAAAGTTCTTCTTCTTTGGTAAATGCACTTCTTTTCCCCAAAAATGGTGGTATAAAAATTGTTGCCTGTTTCTTTAACAAAATGTCCTGAATGGTGAAGCCTTTGTCAACAAGCAGTGCATCCCCTGGGTTTATATGCTCAAGAATTCCACACCTTTCAAAAAGCGTCACATCATCGATACTGCCCTCAAACAGGTCAGATATAAAGCAAGCTGCACCATTTGGAGTTACAGCAATCAAACACTTCATTGTATTGTGATTTTTGTAAGAGGAATACATGTTTCCTTGCTGTGAATAATTGCTAGGCATTTCACAAAAGAATTCAGTACAATCTACTGAGCATCTGACATTTCTAAATTGCTTGAACATTTTTGGAAGGAATTGTTGCAGTTCTTGACGTGGGGGCATCATGAGAAACTTGTAGTCCTTGAAGAAGTGAAATATAAATTGGATCCATGTTGTGAATATTCTTCTGACCACAGTGCATGATATGTCATACAGATATGAAATTGTTTGTATGTTGAACCCCCTTCTCAAACGTAACAATGTTATAAACATTTGCTCTTTTGTTGAAATTTGCATTGGCACTCTTCTACCTTTGCCATTCTTCTCCTTCTGATCACACAAATAGTTTAATTCGAATTTTGCAGGCCCTAGAAAATTGTAAAGAGCTTCAAACTGAGCTGAAAATAGTCCAGTAAAATACTTGCACTTTGCATCATCTTTAAGAATAGCTTCGCATTCCATCAGTTGTGGGCATGTTTGTACATCAGTATTCATGGAAGAACTTCCAAATATTTTCATTTCATTTCGTAGCACCATATTTTCAACTTTTGCACCTAGTTCGTATTTGCTGTAAACAGTCTGTGTTTCTTTATCACAGTGGCTTGGGCTACTGCCCTCCTTCTCTGCCTCTATGTCTGAATCGTGTCGACTTCCTGAATCCCGGGGGTTTTCGTCTAGCAAGACTACAGATTCTTCTACAGATTCGCAGTTAATTTTTCTTTTGGCTGCTGCCATCTCAAGTTCAGGTATCGCATTCCTTTTTCGACTTTTAGAATTCTGCCGTTTTAAAGACCTTGCAACCAACGAATCAACCTGCGACTCAGTCAGTGTCGCGGTTATCGGGTCTGGATTTTCAGCAGTAGGACCTTTCCTTCCAATGAAATGTTGTGTGCAGATGTAAGTGTCCTTTTTAATCTGGTCTAATGAATAAAAATCTTTCCTCCCGCATGAATGTTGCCATCGCTTTGCCTTCTCTGTCCTCTCGTTTTCTCGCTGCTTTTCCCATTCAGACATGTTAGGTTTGATACGACCAGGCTTTGGAAATCGTATAAATGTTGTTCCATCTGAAAGCCTCTCGGGGTATCGACTGTCAGCATTACAAGTACCCCAGCAACAATGCTTGGTTGCTCCTTTAGGTCTTGCGACTGTCTTCTTGTTCATCGTCTTCACGGTTACAGGTCTTTCTACGGCACTCTAACACTAGGCCTAACGTTGTTGTCCGCACTCCCTTCCCATGATTCAGTGCGTGGATCAGGAAGAAACTATAAATAGAATCGGGGCGCAGTCCTATTGAAAGCGATATTGGCGGCATACAAGGAAAGAATGTCTGGGTGGAAGGCTGACCTTATCCTGCGGGCCTACGCAATTTTCTCTCGCTTGAAACAGCAAGTTGAGCCTGAATTTTCTTCACTGCAGCTACTTCAGACAACTGATGAAATAGCCTGTACATATGAAGATGTATTTAAGTTGAAGTGCAGCCATTTGCCTTGGACTTCAGATTTACGAGGGGACTCTAGCGTTCAGTTTCATCCAGCTGTACGATTATCTTGTTCTTCGCACCACCAAATTTAAACGTTGAAGGGTTTAAAGTTTAAAATGTTGAAGAGTACGGGGAACAAAAAGCTCAAATCTTTCCAGTTCTTTTATGATGGATATATTAAGAGAATTGATGTGGCAAAGGATTCAAATTTTACTTTCTTTGATGTGCGTATGAAGGCATCAATGAAGTCTACTTTATACAAAGTGCTGGTGGTTCTTGATGGTTCTGGCAATGTTTCATTTGCTGCCTGTACATGCCCGGCTGGTGCTGGTATATCTGGCCTTGGCAATTGTAATCATGTTGGAGGAGTTCTTTTTGCTTTGGAAGATTTCAACAGGAAAGGCTACAGAAATTGTCCTGAGCCTGTCTCTTGTGCTTCCAAATTAGCAGCCTGGAATGTCCCATCTTTTTTGCTTCAGTTTCTCCTGCATCTATTGATGACGTTCTTATCAAGAAGATCAGATTTGGCAAAGATGATGTTCAGTTAAAAGCCATAAAGAATATTTGCCATGATCCTCGTCAAATTGCACATCGTGGAATAGATGAAGAAAGGGTTGAAAAGCTGAAACACTCTCTTGCTTCTTCCATTCCAAACAGTTGTTTCTTTGCTTTCCATTCTTTTCCTGATATATCTTCAGCAAGCAGTTCTTCTATTGTCACAGAAATGGTTGATTCATTGGATTCTCCTTTTCAAGATTCTTTTGTTAATTTATCTGTTTCTGACACTCACAAAAATTCAATGGCATTCAGCGATGATTATGATATATCCTGTTCCAATTTTAAAGATATGATGGACTACCATACCAAAAATAATATGTATCAGGCCTTGCCCGGAAAGGCGCTCGATCGAGCGCGCGCGCCTAGAGCGCACCAAAGAAAGCCTTGGAGAGCGGTTTATAGAGCCCCTCAAAACGTAAAAACAATATTAACACGGAGCAAAGTAAATTTTTGGAATTTGTTGAATCAACTTGATCAAGCATAAACAATCTTCCCAACAGACCGCAATATTATGATTTGCGTAAGATTACCATTTAAGAAAAAATTCAGCAAATTCAACGTTGGGTTTTCGATATCATTTTTAATCTAACAACCCTCTAATAACCATCAAGAATACAGGCCATCAAGCATATTCTCCGGCAGATTTATTTGATTTTCGAGCAAGCGTTAATCTTCTATTGAAGTAAATTTTATTTTCTTTTTTTTAATAACTTAAAATCGCCTCTGCAAATCAGCGATCACGTTTCCGTCCAAATTATCGCATTATTTTTCATTTGCTTTTGCGAGTAGTAGATGTTCTAGCGTTTCTTATAGAATGGATAACATGAAAAAAGGAACAAAGTTAAATGTTCGATTTAAAGCCATGCGTTTTGATGAAGCAATATGTGAAGCTGAACATAACAGTAGTGATACTGACACTGATAAAAGCTCATCGCATGATGGCAACTTACATATCTAGAAAAATCTGAACAATTTTGCGACTTTGTTCTGTTATATTTATATATTTACATTAACATAGTGTTTGTTGCGTGTTTTGTTATTTCATATTATGGTGCTTTCTGGTATCACCGTTGAATTTCATATTTAACATTCTTCCGAAGCTTTTGATATGAAGCTCTCGATTTTCTAAAGCTCTCGAAGGATGCTCTCAAGGAAATTTACTTAGAGGTGCGAAATAGAGCGCCTAGAGTTTCTAAGGGGCTTTTTTTTATGGAGCACCTTCATTTTACTTAGAGCAAGGTCTGATGTATCTTCCATCAACAGCTATTCTTGATATTGAAAAAGAAACCCGTGGTCAGCCATCAAATTCTTCTTGGAAACAACACAGATTATATCGCATCACTGCATCAAATTTTTACTCTGCTGCTGTCACTACTGTTGAACCATCGTCTAAGTTAAATTCAATGTTCTACTCATCTTTCTCTTCTGTAAGCATACGGCATGAAAAGGCTTACGAGTCCCATGTTCGTTCTTTATATTTGGAGACTTTGCTACGCAATGGCTTCAATGAAGTTTTTGTTGACGAGCCTGGCCTTGTATCAAGTAATCATTCTTTTCTTGGTGCATCCCTGGATGGTATCGTAGAGCATGGTCAAGACTCTTGGGGACTTGAAATCAAATGTCCTTATTCAAAATTTTCATCTTCTCTCGATGATGCTGTTGCAGATAAGAAGTTTTTTTTAAAAACTAAAGACACATGTGGTAGAGCTCAAAAAGGAACATGCCTATTACTACCAAATTCAAGGTCAAATGTTTTGCTCTGGATTAAGAAAAGTTGATCTGGTGGTCTGGTTTGGGGATAACCAGCCCTTGTTCATTCAATCAATTATGTACGATGAACATTTTGTTCAAAACTCCATTCTTCCTTAGCTGAACTTCTTCTATCGCAGAGCTGTATTACCAGAATTCTTTACAAAGCGTGTAAAAAGAGGTCTCAAATTATACCTTCATGGTGGCTGGGAGAAGTTTTCTTTAGAATTATAAATTGTTTAAATTTTGTGAATCTTAAATAATAAATGACTCGGTATAGAGTGTTTATCAGGAATACCACTGTTATAATCACTAGTTTTGTCATTTGGCAAATTCCACTAAATCTATAAATACAATCTTTTGAAATTGCAATACCATTAATAGATATCTACAATATAATGGATAAGCAAACACACAAACAAACTCAAAATTAAGGATAACCCCACAAATTGAATTATGTCACAAATTAAACATAACAGATTATGTTTCAAGAGGAAGTAAACCATAAGCTACCACGTTATTATTTTTATGAACTTTTCCTTTATCTTTTTATCTATGTATTTTACAATATTAAATAAAATATGAAAGAGTTATCGTGTAAGCAACAGTGTTACCATTAAAGAATTATTTTTTACAGTCTTTCGTGTAATACAAATATGAAAGAGTTATTGTGTAAGCAACAGTTTTACAATTAAAGAACTATTTTTTATACTATTAAATGTAAATTAAATATGAAAAGTTTTTGTGCAAGCAGCAGTGCTATATTTATTAATCATATTTTCACTTACAATGTAATACAGATTTTGAGAAATTAACATAAAAAGGAAGGTTTGTTTATAGGTTATGCTTTATTTAAGACTTTTGCTCCTTTCTATTCGTGTAGTAGGGCTGAATACGATGAATTAATTTATTTACTAAATGTGGCAGGCTTAACTATAAATGGAAGGAAATTTGTTAACATACAACAAACTTTAAAAATTTGATTAGCTAAAGGACTTAAGGATAAAGGAAGACAGCCATCAAGAATATGGTAATCCTTAATCCTTCCAATGGCTCTTTCAACATGAATACGGACTGCAGCTATGTTGGCAATTTTTTCAGTTTCTTTTGGTGTTAGTTGGGCACGATTCCCTTTAAACGGAGGAATGTTGAGAGTGACACCAACTGGTAAGATAGCAGCAATATCAAAACCGCAATCTGCCATTACGTTGTCACCAGGTTCAAGGAGAGAGATGAGACCAGATTTAATTGTTATTTCTTTATCAGATACACGGCTTGACCACAGTTTAGATACAAATGTGATTGCCCCAGTAGGAGATATTCCAACAAGGGCTTTCCAGGTGTTGTGATGCTTATACTCTGACCAAGTTTGTGACTGAGCTTTCATAGATGAAGGGACTTCTGTAAAAATTTCTGTACAATCAATGATTATTCGTGTGGATGGGTACAGTTTAAATTCTTCTGGCATTAACTTTTGGATTTGTTCTTGAGACAGGAAGGGAAAGAGAGAAGGCAATTCATGAAACAAGAAGTTGATCCAAGTAGTAAAAATCTTTGAAACTTGTCCACTTGAGATACCAAATCTATCTGCAAGATCATTTACAAATAAACCAACTTTTAGACGCATTAAAACCAAGACAAATTCTTCAAAGTGAGATAACTTGCGTTTGGGACCAGATTTCCCATATTCATCTGGCCTGTCCCGCTTGTCTTTAGATACATCATGTGACTTGGATCCCCGCCAATAAGAAATATTATCCAACTTTGGTGCTAAATAATTAAAAACAGCTCCATCATCATATTTCAACTTATAAATGGAGAAAAGTGACTTTTTTGCAATGGAAAGTTCAGCATTCAATTCTGAAACATTAAGGGACAGTTCATCAATTTTCTGTTGGAGAGTGACATTCTCTCACGTCAGTTGAAGATAAAGGAGGTGCATAACAATGATCTGTCATAAGATTGGAATAGGAAGCATCATTCGAGTAAACTGGCGTCTTGACAAAAGAAAGTTACAAACAAAATTGACGACAAACAAAATAACAGTTTCTCATTTGACATGTATATGTTCAATCAATCTAATCCTTGATCAGTGGCATCTTCTAGCACGTTTTATCCATTAAACTTTTATTTCATTATTTCTTGCACTCTGAGCAATATACCGATACTCGGTCCTGCTCAGTATCGATGTAGATGTAGAAAGTTTGGTCTGAGTTGAACATGTTGAAAATAGAGATGACTCTCTTTCAACAGTATCAGGCAAGGCAACATCTTCTTCTTCATTAAAATCAGGAAAAGAACAAGAAAGAGGAAGGTTGAGAATAAACAGATGCAGTGCGATCCTTGGGTGCTTTTCGTGTCGTCCGTGTAGTGGTTGTCTTGGGATCAACGAACAGCTTCAGAGAAGGAACAGCATAGGCCACTAACTTCCTCCAGCGGAGTGGATTTCACTTTATATCAGAAGCAGTAAAGTGTTCTTCGCATAAAACAGTGTTTCTAGTAACCATGAAACCATCAGAGCCATCGCGTCTCTTAATCAAATTGCACCAGTGATTTTTCCTTGGATTCTTTTGAGGGAATGAAAAAAAATGTAGGCCCGTCCCCGTACCGTCCTTGTTATATTGAAAATTATAACATCCAAACGCTGCGCATTGTCTTCCTAACGATGATTTCTTCTTCGTTTGATCATTAGAATTTGCCTCATCGTTATTTTCAGCCATAATGATAACAATAAAACAATGATAAACTAAGAACGACAATATGTCAAACCTCCACTGTTCACAGCTTCGGCAACTTTTCTTACAGCGTTAGCTTCGTTTTCGATTCCCTGTCTCGTTTTCAAACATGAATGTGAAAACGGTCTAGTATAGTCTATTTTCAGCGGTTTTTTTCTTCATCTTGCCTTCGTTACCAAGTTTTAATAATAGTTAATGACTAAGCCACGCTTTAGTAGTATCTACAATGCCTGCCAAAAGTCTTGGAACACTGAAATCAATTTTAAAGGTCAAAATCAATCATCCCCCTCTCCCCTACAGAACAATGTTGGTTTACTATCAAGCGGGTTAGGATTTTAGGAAGCAATTTCTTTTGCGCTTCTTATATTATATTTCTTTAAATCATCAACATTGTTTGAGGGGGAAGAGGGCGGAAGTAGCAATTTTTTTTCATGAAAGGAATGAAAGATTATCAAATGCAGCGTAAATTGGTGGGTGTTCCAAGTACTTTTGGCAGGCATTGTCTGAATTTCATTTTGAAGCTTATTAGATATTCCACCAAAACCAATATCTACCTACAGGTTTTCGGTGGTGCTGTTTCCATTTCTGCCATTTTCAACATCGTACGTGTTACCGATAAGGAGATATGGGGGTATTGTCTTTTTCGGGGTTAGGGGTAAGCTACCCCCATAAAACTAAATGCCATTATTCAACTAAGCTGAAAACTGCTAAAATAAAAATCGATTTCCATTAAATAGGATCAAGATTGTATTTTGAATCTTTTCAAAGGTTTGTAGCCAGACGGCTGTCTAAGAAGTAATGGGATAGATGAAGGAGACAAATATGAATGGCAGCTAGAAAATAATCGAAAAATTGAAGGGTGCAATTTTATAAAAGTGACATCGATTCCTCTGTTTCATGTTTCTGATTATAGATAAGGTCGTATTTGAGAATTATGCCGGGTAGCATACGAGGAAATACCGATAACGGATTTGAATCATAACATGAATTTTCGAAATTCATGGCAGAGTCAGCAAAGTACACCTTGAGATCTTTGCTATAAATTCGAGCAACTGTCTTACGTAAATGATTCTGCCCGAACAAAATAGGCCATGTCAAATTAGGAACAACAAGCACTGTAAATATAATTGAGCGACCATTTTCCCATACAATAGGGACTTCCAATATACCTACAGCATGTAGATTGGAGGTAGGCCCAGCTACCGAAACGGGGACGTGCTGCTCAAGTTTAGTGAATTTGAGATTGGGATGCTGACGGGCTAAATGCGCAGCATGTTTTTGACTTATTAGGGATACCGAGCAGCAACTATCTAAAGGCAACGAGAGGGAAAACCCCGCGGAAGTAACCTTAGTCCACAAGATGTTTTTGAATGTTTTTATCCGCAAGACGAAGGCCCGAAAATGTAAGATTACTTTTAAGGGCGGATACGGCAGGCATACCATAAAGTAGCTAGCGGCGTAGCCTCGGGAAGTTGGGTGGACGTTGAAGAAGGGAGACGTTTTTCTACCTCCTGTGCAATACTAGCAGAGAGATCCTGTTTTAAAGATGCAAGAGATTCATTAAATGCTTTCTTTACTGTATCAACGATAAATGCATCATGATCTGTGTTAATATCTGCATAATTGCTATGAATTCGAGGTGATACAGAATATCGAGAATCAGGAGGAGAATTACGAGTATCATGTGAATTACGTTTAAAGATGCCTCGTGGCTGTACGTGATTCTGGCCACGAGAAGGCTTGTTACGTGTGGAATCGTGAAATTTATGTAAGAATTTCTTACAATTAGACTTAGAACATTGCACGCATTTATGAATAAAGCCAAACTTACATCGGTTATTAGGTAATTCACAATGAGCTTTATGAAATTTTTTAAAGTACCAGCAAATTTTTGTACCTGAGTGTCCAGAATTTACGTTTTGCTGGACTGGAGAAGCTGATTGCGTAGTAGCGGTAAGGAGAGATTCCGGCTTCCATGGAGTGGGCGTGTCTCGAGGCGAAAGGACGTGCTGAACTGACTCATATCGTTTTGCAGCTTCGATGGCAGCAGTCAGATTGGAAAAAGGAGAATCACGACTGAGAAGTTCCTTGGATAATACAGGAGAAAGTTTTATAATGAAGGCATGAATGAGTTCCATGTCACCAGTGTGTGGGTTGGAAGAACGATGGATACCAGGAATGAGCCTTTCGAGGGAGTGCTGGGTTTCCAGAAAACGGTGTGTGAAATCGGAAACAGACTCGCCAGGATTCTGGTGCATGGCGTAGTACGTGGCAAGAAGTTCTCAGATACGTTGCTCTTTGGGTACACCACGGTGGGCTGTAAGAGTGGCCAAACATTGATCGTAAAGAGTCATGAATTCGTCTGAAGTCCGACTATAACGATGTCGAAGGCTCTGGTGTCTTTTTGACATTGTTGCTTTAAATAAGTCAACCAAAATTTTGGAGAGACACCAGAGAAGGAAAGGATGTGTGTGAGCTGCTCTAGGAAACGATCTAGAGGTTCCCTGCCTGTAAACTCCGGTAGAATTAATTGTGGCAGACGTAGTGTAGAGCTGCTTGAATTTTGTGGACGAACGGAGAGAGACGCAGCTTGCGAGAGGCTTTGTAACTGTCGTTGCGTTTCGGCAGTGATTTCTTTTGTGGTATGTTGTTGGGATTTCACCACTTCGGCAAGACCACCAACAAGACCAACAACTTCTTCGATAGTGGACATGACTGACGGTTATTAACCATAAATGGAGAACCGTGTCAATTTTTGAAGCGCTTATTAACGATAAATAGAGAACCGTGTCAATTTTTGAAGCGGTTATTAACCATAAATGGAGAACCGTGCCAATTTTTGAAGCGGTTATTTCTCCATAAATGGAGAACCGGGTCACTTTTTTGTAGCGGTTATTTATCCATAAATGGAGAACCGGGTCAATTTTTGAAGCGGTTATTTATCCATAAATGGAGAACCGTGCCAATTTTTGAAGCGGTTATTTCTCCATAAATGGAGAACCGTGTCAATTTTTGAAGCGCTTATTAACGATAAATGGAGAACCGTGTCAATTTTTGAAGCGGTTATTTATCCATAAATGGAGAACCGTGCCAATTTTTGAAGCGGTTATTTCTCCATAAATGGAGAACCGTGTCAATTTTTGAAGCGCTTATTAACGATAAATGGAGAACCGTGTCAATTTTTGAAGCGGTTATTTATCCATAAATGGAGAACCGTGCCAATTTTTGAAGCGGTTATTTCTCCATAAATGGAGAACCGTGTCAATTTTTGAAGCGCTTATTAACGATAAATGGAGAACCGTGTCAATTTTTGAAGCGGTTATTTATCCATAAATGGAGAACCGTGCCAATTTTTGAAGCGGTTATTTCTCCATAAATGGAGAACCGTGCCAATTTTTGAAGCGGTTATTTATCCATAAATGGAGAACCGTGTCAATTTTTGAAGCGGTTATTAACCATAAATGGAGAACCGTGTCACTTTTTTGTAGCGGTTATTTATCCATAAATGGAGAACCGGGTCCAACACCAATTTTTGTAGCGGCTATTTATCTATAAATGGAGAACCGGGTCCAACACCAATTTTTGTAGCGGTTATTTATCTATAAATGGAGAACCGGGTCCAACACCAATTTTTGTAGCGGCTATTTATCTATAAATGGAGAACCGGGTCCAACACCAATTTTGGTAGCGGGATCTTTATCGAAGAAGTGAGACGAAGAGAAAATAACTTTGTTCATGTTTTCTGCTTCATCATCGAAATCAAAAGTCCTATAACTAACTACGTGCTGAAATATATATCCTTAAGTTAAGTGCGTCATAAGTAACATGATAACGAGGTTAATACTGAAAAGAGAATATTCCTATAACACCCTCACGCTTGCTACCTTGTCATCTCAGAGTTTATCAGGCGTACCGACAGATGAGCGGTGCTCAATAAGCGAAACTCAATGGTAAATTCAATACATTTAGCCAAAGTCTGAAGAAAATGAGCGTTGACATTCTCCTACAACAAAATGTCATTCAAGATCATTTAGGTCGAGATGGACTACATTTGAATTTTAACGGTAACAAGCAGCTGGCATTAAATATTATAGAGAAACTAAAATTTTATTAATTAATTAACGTTTGACATGGGCATAATCTTTCTCAAGAGCTATCCCAGAGGTCTTTCAAAACTGATATATCTCCTATAAATATCTCAAAACGACTAAGAGCAAACAAAGGCGAAAAGATCTTTTACAAGCATCTTGCCCTGAAAACGGTGCATGCCTAAACTGCTTTCTCTTGCTGCTACTTTTCCATAATTCTTACTGCCTAAGATAAGGTACGGGGCTCCTATAAATACTGAACTAAAAACAATAGACATACGTAAATAAAACGGTGAAAGAAAGTAATTTACTTAGTGACGAGCGGGGTGGGGTAGCGTAATATCCTTAAATACTGGGTTGCTATGGCGATCTACTTAACATATGAAGTTACTCATAATATACAAAGATTATCCTAATACACGTGATAGAAAATGCAGAACGAGCCAAGAAAGTTACAGATAAACAAGAGTGGTCAGATAAGGTTTAGAAAATCAAATGAATGGACTAGAAAGAAAGGCCTAAAATCAGCAGTATTACATATAATCAGGCTATGTCTAGAAATGAAATTGGACCGGGATCCTATTGACCGGGACTAAAACATGCCTGATGTCTTGGTACCTTTAGGTAACTAAATATAATCAGATTATCTCTAGAAATGAAACTGGCCCAGGACCTATTGTCCGGGACTAAAACATGCAATATTGCTATCGGGCAGCATTTACTGGAAACCCGGATTGTGAGTAAGACTATAATGGCAACATGTATTAGTAGAGCCCAATCGTCGTTCCATCTAGCAGTTTTTGAATCTATCTACATAAACGTTAAGAAAGCCACTAAAAACCCAGAAAGATATCGTTTTCACTTTAGAGCTCCAAAGAGTACCGAAGTGATGACGTCATTAAAATCTATTTTTAGAATTTCTTAATTTTGATCCCAGAACCTGAAAGAACATCATGAAATATCTCTAAATATGCAAAATCAGTTAAATGTATTACGAATTGGCTGAGATATGGCCACTTGAGCACAAGCTCTTGCCCCATCAAACCTCTGTAATTTGACCTTGGTTCATAACTTTCTGCACCAGGCCACAATAACAGTAATCCGTTAGCAAACTACAAACCTTCTATTGGCCATAGCTCACCCGATTTGGAGCATATCTAACTAATTTTGCATAATGAGGGGTATTTTATGCCGTTCTTTCAGATTATGTTGCCAAATTTAAGAAATTATAAAAATAGATTTTTGATGACGTCACACTTCGGTACTCTATATGTCCTTGCGGTTCTGATTGGCCTTTTTCGATCCACAATTCATAACTATTTTACTCGTCAGCTGAGAAATATATTTCCTAGCATAGAGTTTTCGATATTATTCTGACGTTTTATACTCTGAAGAGTGTCAGACAAAAAGCTTTACCATGACTCAAATTTTTTGTTTTTTCAAGGCCATTGATAGCTTTATGTTATCAAACAAGAATCTAGTTAAGATAATTTTAATAACAGCTTCTATGATTCTGCCAAAACCTCCCCAAGCTCAGAACATCGAGACACGAATCTTCAGCTATGACGTCACTTACCCATAAAACTCTGTCTCTAAATTCTTTTGTGTTTTTCGTCACGTTGTTGCCATGGAATTTGTAAGGATGCAAGAAAACAGTATTAAAATCGTACTCGTCCCAGGCCCTATCGGTGTTGCTAGTCCAACTGCCCCAACCATATTTCTTCTGGAGATACAATCCTTCCATGAACTCCACATTTTTTATGTCTTCCAAGAACATCACCGCCATTGGAGTTGCTACCTCAAGAAACAGTCTATGGTCGTAAAATTTCTGGCCTAAAAGTGCGTACTTCTCTGAAAGCCTTTTTGGAATATAAATAATATCAGATAAGGCTCCAATACAAACATCCGTTGTTCCTAAATTCTTTTCCAGTTGTTGAAATATTTTCAAATCCGTGAATATGGAGTTGTTCTGCATTTCTACGTAAGCATTCTTACATCTCTGAAGGCAGTTCGCTCTCCTCCACCAAAAGCTTATATCCGATTCATATATGTTTTGTGTCGTCATTTCTCCCAAACTAGTGAACCATACTTTGTTCCTATCTAATTTCAGAAAGTTCCACCAATTAACTATCATGTCATCGTTAACATACAGGTAACCATTATACCCAGGGTTCCGGCGAATAGCCTCGACCAAGCACTGATATCCGTAATAGCCATATTCATTTTTGGGTTGATCAATACGAACGACGGTGTAATTTGCACTAATTTCCGGACCGCATATCATAAAATTCGGAAACACGGGCGAATATAATTTCTTCAGGATTGGTATTGTGTGGTAAAAGGGATGGTTGAAATTGATCGCAAGAAATAAATCCGAGAATATTGCCGAATTCTTGGAATCTCTGGTAATGCGATTTTGGCATTTTCCATCGTAGTGCCACAATTCTCTGCACTGACTGGACACCTTTGCTTTTCCACCTAAAAAGGATTATCACAAAGGTCTTATCCGGATGACTACAGACCTTTTGGGAGGGAGGGAGGGAGGGAAGGAGGGAGGGAGGGAGGTAGAGAGAGAGGGATAGAAAGAGAACAGCCACCTCGGTCTTGCAGATCTAAAACTACAACTAAAACCTGCGATTCTGCTATCGGGCAGCATTTACTAGAAAACCCAGATTGTCCAAAAAACTATAATGGCGACATGTTTCGGATTATTGGTAAAGCCCGATTGTCCTTCCACCTAGCAGTTTTGGAACCTATCTACATTAGCACGATAAAACCACTATTGTGTAGACAAAAGGAGTTCGTTTTCACCTTAGGACTTTATTGGTAACATTCTCAATAGGCAAGCGGCACTGATTGGGCAACCTCAACAGTCATATGCTCGCGTTTCTGATTGGCTTATTTCGATCCACAACTGGGTATATATATTTCCTAGCGTAGAGTTTTCGATCAATGCTCAGACGTTTTATCCTCCAAAGAGTGTCAGGCGAAAAGCTTTAGTTTACTCAAATATTTGCTTTTTTAAAGCCATTTTCAAGTTTTGTACCACCAAAATATTATTGTAATAATGGTATACTCTCGATAAAATGGCATACTATCAACAAAGGGGCATACTCTCAAAGCAATGGCATATATCGACATAGTGGTGCAATCTCTTAATGCAATGGTGTACTATCGTGTATCGACGAATTAGCAAAGCAAAATAAAAACGTTCCCTTACCTTTGAATTTTACTTTGAACAATCTTGATGTTGATATTTCATTTGCAGGGCCTGAAAATAAATATGATCAGATATGAGTTATCTTTGCAACCTAAAGGCATCATGGGTAACCAGGATCCAGGACCCAGGACCCAGGACCCAGGACCCAGGACCCAGGACCCAGGACCCAGGACCCAAGACCCTGGACCCAGGACCCAAGACCCAAGACCCAAGACCCAAGACCCAAGACCCAAGACCAAGGACCAAGACCCAGGATCTAGGACCCAAGACTCAAGACCAAGACCCAGGATCCAGGACCCAAGACACAGGACCAAGACCCAGGACCCAGGACCCAGGACCCAGGATCCAGGACCCAGGACCCAGGACCAGGACCCAGGACCGTATATGTTTTCGACGATGCACTTGCTGTTTCATTTAAAAGAATACCAAGTTATAACATTGCATACCACGAACAATTGTCTATAAAATCCAAAAGTTTTAAACATCGAACAAAAGACTGCACATCATAGTAAGGGGGAATACTTCTAATGAATACAGAAATAAATCTGATTTTTATTTCTTGCCCTGTGTGAAAAACAAAAACAGGCATCTGCAAATGCATTTAAACTTTATGTGGCGTTTTTTTTTATTCAATGTGCACCTCAGCGTGGTGCACATTGAATAAAAGCCCCCAAAAGGCAATACGGTTTCTTCAACTTCATCAAGTTTCCAATTTTTGTCATCTTCCTCAATTTCTCTTTGTTTCTACAACCTTCCTCCGGCCAGTAGCCGTGGTGACAGTGGCGGAGCCACGAGAGGGAATAGGGGGACTAGTCCCCCCCACTTTTTCAGAAAGTTGGTCCTTGGGATTCTTGCAAACCTGATGAGAAAACTTCAGGTGGGGGGGGTATGTACGTTATCTAGATCGTCACGTGTAAGTGACATTTCTTGGGAGGCAACAGGTGTTTCCTCCGGAAGAAAAAGTTTCAAGGAAGGGAAAAGGGCGTGGTCCTAAAGGGCGTTGTCCCTGACACACCTTTTGTCTCCCTCCACTTATCCGTCACTGCGCCGCCACTGCGTGGTGACCGTGATGCTTTCCTTCCT